TCTCTCATAATATGTTCTACACTGTAGAAAGCTAAATCTACATGAGGCGTATAATGCATTGCTAAAAAAATGCCTGTAATTATCTGGATTACCAAACAATACCAGCAATAGCCTTAGGAGTAGCTAGTGAAAGGCAAAAACAGAAGTTGAGAGAAGAATATAGAAAAAAAAAAAAAAAAAACTTCGACACGAGAAACTTTTTTAGATGTATCTGCCCGGAAATCACGACCAGGTGAGTCGCAAATGTCCAACTGTTGTATGGCCTAAGGCCTCCCACCCTTCTCCACCCCTTTTTGATCTTTTTCCTCCCAAAAGTGCTGATAAGGCCATCCTCTCTCTGGCCCTATTTTTCTGTAGTCTCGACGGCCGGCTGAGGGCACACTCACACTACCACGTATTTTGGCAAAATAGCAATTTATTTATTTATTTATTTTAATTAAAACAATGCTCCGACCTATTTGTGGGGAGGGGCACAAGCTGAGAAACGGGCCCAGCGTCCCTTATAAGACAGTTGGTAACAGAAGGGCCCCAGGGGCAAGGTCCCACTTGCGCAAATTAGGAGATTCCAGCCGTTGATCTTTGCTATCTACGGTCAGTATCTCTTTTAATTCGTTCAAGTGGGACCTAGCCCCGGGTCCCCACAGTCTACCCGGAAATGATCCATTAAAACTTATACCGGGGCGAGGTCCCATTAGCAGTAAGATAGGAGTGTGGCCGATCCAGTGTGACACTGAGTGGCAGCGGCCTCCCACCCGAAATCACGGCAGAGTGCTTCCCAGCCATGACATCACAAATGATCTGATGGTGGTGGTCCCCACAACAGTGAACAAAGTAACGCCCACATTTTCTGGAATAAACTTGACTTCTGTCAGCACTGATCCTGACGCGCTCCATATATATATATACATATATATATATATCGTATATATATATATATATATATATATATATACTCTGTGATTGAAGGAGGGCTCCACCCAATGAGATAATTGCACAACAGCAAGTAAAATACTGAAAATCTTCTATCCAGTGGGCCTAAGGCCAACCCCACCCTCCTTTGGGGTTGCCACAACCCCAACCTATTGAAAAGATTCTGGCGGGAAGCTTTCTTTGCACGGTAGAGGAGGAGGGGAACGAAGATGTCCTTCAAAAAAAAAAAAAAAAAAAACGAAGATGTCCTTACTTTTTCGGGTAATACATGTAAAATACTGACCGTGGGATCACGAGTACTGCACGGCAGGATTTGGGTCACTCAACTGCCCCACAAACTCGTTTCTAGCCTATCCCTTTGCTAGTGGGACCTTGCCCTGGGACCGGCTTCGCTTGAATCAAAAAAAAAAAAAAAACTGCTGGAAACAGGATCCAACGTTCCATCAAACAGAAAAGGATAGGGCCAGATCCCACTAGCCCCTATTGTTCCTTTCTGACCGTTGATCTTCGTAATCGAGGGTGAAAAATGAATAATCCAGGGTAGGGGGATCTGACCCATAGTAAATAAGTCTTTTATGTAGTTTTTCGGGTCACAAGAGGCACGCATTTTGCGTGTTCACACGAAAGGGCACGTAAATGTCAGCGGCCTGGACAGCGGCGGGCTTACATATTTTGCGGGGACCTCCAAAAAACAAATAATTTGAAGTGCATTGTGCTGTCTGACTGCACACAATGTATTTTCGCATCTCAAGGCCAGGGGCGAGGTCCCACTAGCAACAAGGATTGTATTGATTCCTATTGAATTCATGAATCTAGACCTGTTCGTGAAGAGGTGTCCAGATTCAGGAGTTCAATCCGATCCTCTTTGCTAATGGGACCTGGCCCCAGGCGGCGACCCTGTCCTTTCTGCTTTGGGCAAAAAACGGGTGAGCAGTGTGACCCGCAGGGTGCCATATAAATGCAAATTCACATACGTAAAATTTGCAGAAGTACGTGCTAGTGTGAGTATGCCCTGAGATGCACTCGTGTAACTTCTAGTCGTCTCGCGAACTTACCCTCCCGTCCCTTTTTTTTTTTTTTTTTTTTTTTTTTTTTTTTTTTTCAAATCCAAATCCATTCCAAAATTTCATCAGAGGCCAGGGACCTCTACGTTACTCCGGGATGCAAAGTGCTGGAAGCATCATCCAGCTTAGCTTACAGGCTATGCCTGCCGATCTTTTTCAACCCAGCAGCTCTACCCCCCAGTCTTCTCCATGTTGCACCTTTTTTTTTCTTGCTTTTTTTTTCCTTGTTTTTTTTTTTTTCTTGTGTCTTTTTTTGGTAGGCTTCGGTGGCCGACTGGTGTCGCATTCTTTTTTTTTTTTTGGCTTTATATCATATCATTGAACTAACCGGCGGCACCAGGTAATTCAGAATTATCTGGTCATCTGCTCTTATCTGGATTCGAACTTGGGTCTGTATTTGAAACAAGTCTCACAAAGTCCTCCTTTTTGGAGTTGAATCTGTTCTCAGAATCCTCCCACGTGTCTGCGTCTCCGCCTCTCTCTCTCTCTCTCTCTCTCTCTCTCTCTCTCTCTCTCTGTGTGTGTGTGTGTGTGTGTGTGTGTGTGTGTGTGTGTGTGTGTGTGTGTGAG